AGGGAAAGGCTAGAGGTCATCCCTGGACATGTACAGTTGCCAAATGTATACACCAGGCAAAATATATCAGTATAGGGTACAAGGGCTGGGACGAGTCCAAATTTACTACCTGGGTACCCAATCCCGTATTACCCAGCCGTAAAAAGCGATTAACGGTATCGGGTGGTCAGACTCGCTGACTTGGTTGATACATGTCATCGGTCCCAATTGCGTGGATCGATGCTCATGATAATAATCACTGGATTGTCTGGTCGATTATTTACAGACCGCCGTCATATAGCTGGAATATTGCTGAGTGCGGCGTTAAACCAAACAACCAACTATTACCCAGCCCTACCCGGGTACCCACTGTAGGTCTCAAGAGCTGGGAACAAAATGTCTGATTGGGAATTGTTTTATCGCAGCCCTGGTCAAAACTATTTAGATACATGTATCAAACGATCAGTACACTGAAGTTGACTGGAGATTTATCTTTACTCAGACATATACAAGTCAAAAGGAATGTGTGCATTGTCAGAAAGAAATGCAAACATTAACGACTTGCGGTGTAACCACTGAGCTATAGTGAATTTTTGTCATCAAACAATATATCGCGTGATTAACCATGGGTCCGGGTAGTCCAGTGGGTACCCTGGTCCTACTCAGGACCAACCCGACCCGAGTACCCGATTTACCCATCCCAGCCCTATTGGGTACATACTTCAACACTGAATAGCCATTTTTTAATCATACCAGCTGTATTAAGATTCTGACCCAAAAAAGTTTCTTGTTTAGAATGAGTACACATATTGAAAAATCAGAAAATGAAATTGATTATCGGATACATCTCTTGTAGCTGTTCCATGGCAATAGTTATTTGTTTGTTAGTATGTTGTTTAATGCTGCACTCAGCAATATTCCAGCCATACGACGGTGGTCTGTAAATAATCAAGTCTGGACCAGACAATCCAGTGATTGACATCATGAGCATCAATCCACGCAGTGGGGATCGATGACATGCATCAACCAAGTCAGCATGCCTGACCATCTGATCCTGTTAGTCGCCTCTTATGACAAGCACAGTCACCCTTCATGGCAAGCATGGATTGCTGAAGACCTATTCTACTCCGGATCTGCATGGGTCCTGACTACCTTTCCCAGTACTTCCTCTGTTTCATATATGACCCAGACCATGCAACCGTCCTGGGAAACATACATTGTTCTTTTCAGCAGGCATCGGTTGAATCTTAGACATAAACAGAACGAGACCAATGTAAATAGTGGATATTTCCAAACAATACATGAGTGAGTGAGTGAGTGAGTGAGTGAGTGAGTGAGTGAGTGAGTGAGTGAGTGAGTGAGTGAGTGAAGCTTTACTGGAATATGGCTAAAAGAGGCGTAAAATCAAACTCACTACCCCGCTTTTAACAATATTCCAAGAATATCATGGTTGAGGACACAAGAAATGACCGTCACACATTGTACCCAGGTGAGGAATAGGGTGACGAGCGAACACTTTAATCACTAGATTACCCCACTGCCCCCAAAACGATTCAGGGAAGTTCAGGACATATGAATATAAACAAAGAGTGGTGGTTAACATTTTTCAAGGGAAAGTTTTCGCTGGGAAGTCACTGACTCAGTGTTAGAGACGGATATTGATTTTGACAGCTGGTTGGTATCTATTACATTCAACATTGTTTACTCTGAGTCATAAAGATGCATACCAACATAATCCAACACTTTATAAGTAGTACAATTGTCAAGGGGGGGTCGGGGTATTGTCTCGAGCTTAGATATTTTTTAATCTATAGCTGCAAAAACAGATATTTTTTTTACGAAATCTATAGCCTGAATCCATTCCTTTTAATAAAAACATCTTGCAACAATGTTATTTTTGTGGCAGACATTCTCTTTATAATTCAAAAGTCTAAAGCATAATTAATTAATTTTTTCAAGATGAGGACCCCCCCCGCCCCCCAGTGATTGGTTTGGTTGGTTGGTTGGTTGTTTAAAGCCGCACTCAGCAATATTCCACCTAAATGACGGCGATCTGTAAATAATCGAGTCTGGACCAGACAATCCAGTGATTGCTATCATGAGCATCGATCCATGCAATTTGGATCGATGACATGTATCAACCAAGTCAGCGAGCCTGACCACCCGATCCCGTTAGTCGCCTTTTACGACAAGCATAGTCACCTTTTACGGCAAGCATGGGTTGCTGAAGACCTATTCTATCCCCGAATCATCACGGGTCCCCCCTAAGTGAACTCTGACTCCATTTCGGCTGGTACACATAGAGTGAGGTACATCTGTCAACAGTATCAGCTTATAGAAAGCACAAAAAGGTTTATTGTATTAGCATGATTAGTCATGCAACATAAACACCTCATGTTCCACACACAGCTGCTCTTGCTTTTAGAGTATCTCATTTTAGGCCATCCATGTTGTGGCACGATGTAAATAATCCACATTGTCTGTCATCATGGGAAAACATCTATATCTATATCTATGTATCTGTTTATGTCTGTAGGTAATAAAACAATACCCATCAAATCTTCTGTATTGGTATTGCGACGTTAATCATCCTAATAACTATCACATTATACCCGCTTTCCCATGTTATTTACAGAAGACGGCAACATCTGCCTGACATGACAGTCCTTCTGTGGACATCAACATTTTCTCCACAAACATTTCCTCCGTAAGTACTGCTGCTATTCCTAGCCTCATCATGGATGTGTACACAGTACAGAAATAATGACAATGTGATGTTAACAAGAACTGACTAATGGATAATCAATGTCAGTCACACTTGTTCTAAATGTGTCGAAAACGATTTCATCATAATAAATAAATACAGCTTGTTTCTCACTGTTACAAAACAAGTACTTAGTACATTGGGGATTGCAGGTTAGATCTGGTCCCAACCACTGATACAGGTGGCCCCTCCTGCACAGCAACAACAAACAAAATCTAATCAAGCCTAGGCAGGTGCTTGTTCTACATAGTGAGGAGAGGTGAAATGGGGTCTAAAACTGCATTCAAGATTATTTCATTTATATCCCGATATATGTGTATGTGTGTGTGCATGTGTGCATGCGTGTCTGCTAGTCTGGACATTTCTGGTTTCATGGTGCTAGCCGACTGCGATTGCGAACAATGTCACAGTTTAACAAGGATACCCCTCTCAAACACAGTATACTGAACCCCAGCTGACAAGTCTTTGTTTTATCCACTTAATGCCAAGTGCCAGGCAGGGCAACAATAAGCGCCACACTTAAAGGGATCGAACCACTGACCTTCCGGTCTCCGGCACGACACTCTATCCACTAAATCAACCCTGATCTACAAAATCATCTGGGTGCCATGGCTGTTGTATGGAGGCCTTAAGTAAAGTATGTGAGTCATGATAGACCTTGTGCCGTGATTGCTCACCAGAACTGTTCGTAATGGTTTCACTACTGTGCTGGAGGTGTCTGTCAAGAAACAACCAAGGGATTCCTTGACCTAGTCTGTCTCCCAGACCCTGGAGAATAAATTAAAAAAGGAATCCAATTCAAGTCTAGAAATCCTCAATCTCATTAAAATAAGATACCACTCGCTACCACTAAGCCTCAGCTTCAGGAAATTAAGTATTGTTCTGGGCTCCATTAGGAGTTTATTTATTTTGCAGATACATATTTTTAAATAAGGTACTATATTTGTGGGACGAAATGTTAGTCTACCCTTGACCCAAAAGGAAGACATATTAACTGATGTTTAATTAATGTTTCCTGGAAGCTTGACATCGTGGACAAGGACAAATCCATGGCAGAGTCCCTGCTATTTTATGGCCACAAACGTGCTGAACTGGAATACAACCAATACTTCATCACAATCAATCCTTCATTGATGCCGTGAGCAGATATCCCATGTTTCTATCTCAATGAACATATAGATATATAACCAAGGTACTGGGTCACCTTGTCAGATGAATGACAAGTTACATTAATCCTACCACTCTAACAATTCAGAGTGTGCATTGATTAACTGCCTCTGTCCTCTTAAATTGAAACATTTACACGCGAAAAAATTAACAATGACTGTAACGTTGTCAGTGAAAATGATGAATGGTCCACTCTTGCCATGATCAAATAAACTACACAATCCACATATAGAAAAGTTTCACACAAACTTGGGTAACAGTGTATGCCTGACATTAACATTGTTTAAAAATGGTGAGTTGGGTTCAACGCTTCTCTGAACAGTATTCCAGTATATCATAGAGGATTACTACTTTGGGAAAATCCACAAATATGAGTATGGTGCTGACAAACCATGAATCATTCTCCAGGCAAATCTGGGATTCGAACTCGCAATCATAGGATCATGGCACCCATAACTAAATGCCAAAGGGACACAACTCTACACAGCAAGTTGCAGCACCTTAGATGATCTGGCCTCTCATACTCCTCTGTATAGGAGAGTATGAGGTCACACAGACCATCTTGATGCAAAACCAATGTGCAACACTGGTAAAAGCTGAAAACCCCTTCATTACAAAATATGTGCAAAGAGTGCACAAATGCAATTAAAACGTCTGCATGAACATTAAATTATCCTCGAGTGAAATTGATGTACAGTATTACATACATGGTATATGGATAAACAATATCAATATCAATAACACATGTATTAATGTTTTAAGTTGATGTAATTTATGACAGGTGCATATTTTTTTCAAACAGCCTACCTTCTATCCTAACCAACATTTTGAGACTCTCCTGTTTCAATAAATTGGTACGGTGAGTGAACTGGGAATTTGTTAATGATATCACTTGGATGATTTAACCATCTCTTACATGAGCGGAGAGCATAAAATGTCAGACTTCCTCTAACAACCAACAAGGTAATGAGGTAAACAAACAAACTCCCATCACATAAACAGAGTCAGATTGCATAACATGTGGCAAGAGGTATTTAACAGGGGCCTACAATAAGTACAGCCATGCATCACAGTTTGCTAATCTACTGACCTGTGCCTCAAACACTGACCCAATCTTTCACCCTGTCGTCTGCTCTGCCCTGACTGACGGCTGCTTGCACTGCACTCTGAGCAGACTGATGCCTTATCCACCAGTCAGCTGTCTACTTGCCGGGAACAACCTGACTGGCGAATAATCCAAAATACTGGCTGAAAATCGTCCACTTTTCCAAGAAATGATCTATGAGCACAACCCTGGTGAAGGCTTGGCTCAAACTGTAGACAAATTGCTGGTGAGATTTAGCCTCTCTTACATTGGAGTTTGAGCCATAAATTGGGTCATTAGACAATTCCAACTAGCAGGTTCTTCTATTTTTGGCATCTGACAGGCAAGACTTGTGCCTGGCTTTGAGATCAATGATTTTCAACAGCCTCTCCCGAATGTTTCAAGCAAATCTGCTGGGTCTAGTAGTTGATTCTCAGGCCTTTTCCACCAATCGGAAGACAGCTAGCAACGCATCCCCTCCTTATGAATGGCAGAGTGACTGAATTGATTTTAACATGTTCCCCAGTGATGTGACTTTGATTGACAGTCATGAAGTTGTCTGGCTAGGGATAACAAGCTCTGGTCAATAATTTATTCACATAATTTTCAATATTGACAGATGCCCACTCAGCTACACAGTTGCAAATACAACACATTATTCAATAACGATTCCCTTTAAACGTGCAACTTCACTTCCCATGCTTCAAGGCTGAATGGTTTGGAGAGTGTTGACAGTTAGGTTATGAATGAAATCAAGCCATGATATATCAGTGTGTGATATTCCTATTCTGCTGATTCGGCTTATAGGGCTATTCCCTAATGACATGCCAATCATAAACTATACTGTTGGGGAAAGTTGACAATATACATAATTTTGGTAATCAAGGTTCATTACCATGTTAACGTTTCTAAATGTGGTAATAATTGTGGAATTTTCATGATTTTATATCAAGACATGATTGAATTATTGACGTAGTGAAAATGTTCACGTCCCAATGGCAAGGCATGTAGGACACGTCAAAATGTAATTTTTGAAATTGATACCATGACATGATATTGACCATTTGGATTTAATGAAATAACAAAATAATCACCCCCAGTAAGTGCGTACATGATCTTGCGCTTTAATCCAAAATACACAGCCTGACAAAACTGAAGACTTTTTTAAGAGCTCCAACAACATTGTGGATGTCACAAATGTAATATATAATATGTAAATGTGATATCACACACTGGATGCACAGCGGAAAAAAAACAAAACTGTATGGGATATTAATTATGAATTAATACAACACTGTAAACATTGCCATCAGAGAACGTATGCACCTGAGTGAGTGAATGAGTATGGTTTTACACCACTTTTAGCAATATTCCAGCAATATCACGGCGGGGGACACCAGAAATGGGCTTCACACATTGTACCCATGTCGGGAATCGAACCCGTGGCTTCAGCGTGACAAGCGAACGCTTTTAACCACTAGGCTACCCGACCGCCCCCCGTATGCACCTGAAACGGGTTTCCTTACTTGCCAGTGCAAGTCATGGTCTCTAACCCGGTTCATGTTGCCATCCACATTCAATCATCTCATATGGTCCACTGGTCAAGTGAGTTCAAACCGATTCTAAGCTTACAGACACATAATCTCGCCAGTGGGTTAAATAGCTGTCATATATTGAAAGATGAATTCAACCAAAAATAAACAAAATTGTCAAGGGAAATCTGTTTTTAATCATAGTTTGATGCTGAGAGGTCCAACAATGATACCGATTCTTGATAAACAGGGAAAACTCTGCCAGCAGACTGATTGCATGACCTCCTGTGTGAGTCTGAGAACAATTATTCCTAAATAACTCACTCAGCAATATTGCAGCAATATGACATCGACCTGTAAATAAGGAGTCTGGACCAGACAATCCAGTGATCGACATCATAAGCATTGATCCACAGGATCAGATGGGTCAAGCATGTCATCTTATCCCAATTACGGCAAGCATGGGTTACTGAAGACCTATTCTACCCCCATCTTCACGGCTCCGATCCAATTAGTGAGTGAGTGAGTGAGTGAGTTGGGTTTAACGTCGCTTTTAACAGTATTCCAGTTATATCACGGCGTGTCAGCTTAATGCGAGAGGAAAGTCCAAAGTGATGCAGGTCTCAAAAACCCACAAGCATGGGTATGGTGCTGACAAACCAAGAAACATAATCGGGGGAAACCGGGACTCGAACCCACAATCATACGTTTCTGGTGTGCCCAAGGGACGCAACTCTGCAAAGCGAATCTCATCGCCTTAGACGACTGGGCCACCTGTGCCCCCTCCGATCCAATTAGTAGCGTCTAGACAAGCATGGGTTGCTGGAGACCTATTCTATTCCCGATCTTCACGGGTCTGATCCAATTAGTAGCGTCTAGACAAGCATGGGTTGCTGAAGACCTATTCTATTCCCGATCTTCACGGGTCTGATCTAATTAGTAGCCTCTAGACAAGCATGGGTTGCTGGAGACCTATTCTTTCCCTGATCTTCACGGGTCTGATCCAATTAGTAGCCTCTAGACAAGCATGGGTTGTTGGACACCTATTCTATCCCCGATCTTCACGGGTCCAATCAATAATTACAATGTTTGTTGGTTGTTTAAACTTAAAGCCTCACTCAGCAATATTCAAGCTATATGACAGCTAAGGAAGAGAATGTGTTAATGCCTTTAAAAGACTTGATACAACCTCAACATGGAAATGATGCAGTAATATCCATATCACTTCTAAATGCCTTGCAAACACTTATATCACAGCTGTCTGGAAATATTTTTGGTCGATAAGTGAAATAAATGGACAGATGTTTCAGTCAATTTATAAAATGACTGAAATATTTAGACACTTAACAGATTGCCTCAATGAAACACATTTTACACATGACTGTAATATAAACACACCTGCAAATGAAAAGGCTTGTGAAAACAATGACTTAGTTTTGTCTGTCTCGCATCGAAGAACTTCCCAACAAAAATGTAGAGGAACAAGAATGATTCAGTTCCATGCAACAGCAAATGAATGAAAACAAAAAGTGCAAATATTGTCATTACGACTGACCAAAGTTAATTGTTCGATGTCACGTGTCTTTGTAACATTCTAACATTTTAAATTATATATCATTATATGATTATATATACCGGTAAGTTTGTTTCAGGTGTTTCACATAGGTGTCAAGTCTCATTGGTCAGCCGAGATAGCACACATGACAACTGTTTTCCTTGTCCATAGTAAACAAAAATCCATTGAGTTAGATTACAACCAATCAACACTTTATCAGTTAATCCGTTGAATGAAGTGCTGTTTTTGCATCGGCACTTCACGCCCAGATATGGTTGTATTCCGTCTACTTTACTAAACCTACACATGTAAACAGTAAACACTTACTTTTGACGTGCAAGAAAACAGTGCTTACCGTATTCGACGTAATAAGCGCCCAGGGCGCTCTCAAAATTAGAAATAGGGGGCTCTCATTAGAATATTATTTTGTCGAAAAAAATCAGAGTTGAAAGATAAATTTCATGGTTTATGCTGACAGCCTGAAATGTTTATATACGAGAGATATATTTTTCCAGAATTTAATTGCCCATAATTAAGGGTGCATATAACACACGAGTGCGTAGTATACGCGAATAAATAAGTATTGTGTACATTGGTCAATCGGAAAGGGTGCAAATTGAGATTGTTCACGAGCCAATATATTAGCAAATATCGCCGTGGGCGCTTTTTAGAGCGGAGCGCTTATTACTTCGAATACGGTAATCAATCAACATATTTTCATCTTATCCTTTGATGGATGGATGTTTTTTCTGTGACAACCGATCATTCCTCTCTTGCTGCACTGTCACGTGCTCATTACATAACATAAATTTCACCCCACTTCAGACCTGGATGTAGATTGAATAATTACCCCAGACACAAGGGACCTTCGTCATGTAATCTGAGTGGTGCTACCACAAATTATACCTGTAACAAATTCATTAACTGAGCATCAAGAGAATGACGACAAATACACAAGTGCAGGGTTATATCAGGACACATGGATAACAACGTGGGTGTAGCAATCGATTTATCCACACAATCCGAAATCCGAAAATGCTTTTGCTACAGGGATTTTATTTATTAATCCATAACCATCATGGGATATAACGACACCTAATGAGCTTCCGTCATTTTTTTGTTTGTTTGCTTAGGTTGAAGAAATGAATTAACATGCACCCTTTGTAACATCGGAATCTTCATAGATCACGGAAACCAATCAGTGTTCAGAAATGCGTATAGATATTGTCTCAAAGTATATTTCCGCTGTCCTTACAGACGGTAGTCCAGTCCTTTGTCACCCTCAGTTAGCGAGCATATTGACTCATGGCAGCTCGTGAACCTTAGTGGGCAGTGTTAGACAGTCGAGAAGAAGCCAGAGATTAGTGACCTTTTAAGAGTCCTTGGGCATGTTGGGTGGGTGACTGTGTTCACCAGCTTTACTCCTTTCGAGTTCCCAGGACTTTGGTCCTGCCCCACCCTGAAGCACATGTGGTGTCTCCTTAGACAAGTGAGTGAGTGAGTGAGTTGGGTTTTACACCGCTTTTAACAGTATTCCAGTTATATCACGGTGTGTCAGCTTAATGTGGGAGGAAAGCCCGAAGTGATGCAGGTCTCAGACGTTTACCACTTCGGTGAAACCCACGAGCACGGGTATGGTACTGACAAACCTAGAAACATAATCAGGGCTAACCGGGATTCGAACCCACAATCATAGGTTTCTGGCATGCCCAAGGGACGCAACTCTGCACAGCGAATCACAGCGCCTTAGACAACTGGGCCACCCAGTGGCTGGGACGAAATACCAACTGTGCGATCTAATACGTATCAAGATACCTTACTCACGATCCGATATGTATCATGATACTTGCATGTGCTCTTATGAAAAAAATGGCTTACACACCACAGATAAGAGTCTTATCTGTGGTGCGTAAGCCATCTTTTTCATAGACAGGATGGCCAAATACCTGGCACACTGATGATTTACAGTTGGAGTCAAGTATGGCGCAGTGAATGAAAATATTTATGTTTTCAATATTAACTTGCACCACTGATTAGTGTTTAGTGGAACAGTTATTAAAGCAATCATTTAAGGTCAGAATCGATATTTTTTACCTAGTGTGCGACTGGTCGATACATCAGTGTATCGTCCCACCACTTGTAATCAGACAACCAACCCCCTTTTTGTCCTCGGGATTCACAGACCTAATTAGAAGGTATTCAGGACTCAGCACTGGGGTATGTGGGACACAATTATAATTGTATTGTCTATGCAGATTCAAAATTTAAAAACAATAATAGTGTACGTAAAATTCCTATATTTATTTGATTTTTCAAATATTTTTTCAGT